TTGGATGACATGATAGCTAATACTGGACCTAAAGTAATTCAACTTCCAAATTTCAACCAGTATCTTTCTTTTAAAGTTTCTCCAGGACATTACTATTCATTATTACTTTTATTTTTATATAATCTACTTTTAATGCCAGTTCTGCTGGTTTTAGAATGTTATTGCTTTAATAGCCATATTAACAATGCAGGTAAATCACAGCAGAATCGGAAGCCAGACCAAATTTTATACATAAGTTTCTGATACTGCATAAATAATCATAGAATGATTACATAATTTCCATAGTCAGCATATTGCCCTGAACAATCTGGCTCCTCATTTTACTGACCTCGAAAGGGTGGGTAGAGTTAGTCTACAATACTGCATTCTAAGCACCATGGCTCTTAAAAATTTCTAAAATAATTTATTGTATCAAAACCAACAAGAAATTTAGGGTGCCAGTCTATGTCATCAGATACATACTATGTGGAGTTAGATGTACAGATAGTTGGATAGGCAAAGTGATATGTGCACTTTTAATCAGTTAGATTGGAGAGCAATACAATTCAAAAAGTGGAATTGTGAAAGTGACTGTGAATAATCAGATTTACAAAGTAGATATAAGTAAAAACAAATGTAGCCATTATATCTATATGGAGAGTTTTTATTTTCTGAATTTAGTTTCATGAAGCTGTCATCCAGGAATGCAGAAAAATATCTTGCATTTTTAAAATGAAATGAGAGCAGATGAATTTTATTAACTATGAGTGAAATGAGTGCCTGTATTTTAATCTTGCACTTAAATAAAATAAAATTAATGGTATTTATTTTTAGAAATAAGTAAATTTTCTGCCTATGTTTTATTTGACTTATTTCCTCTGTTTGCATGACATACTTAACTGGGTCATGGGGAGGGAAGTGTGATACACAGACTCTAAAACCTAGCCAATTAATCCAGAGATAGTTAGATATAATCCCAAACACACCCGGTAATCCGTATTATTTGCTGTAACAAGGTACAAGGTAATGAATTGACTGGGGGAAGGGATTGCTTGGTCATTTCTGACATGCAAACAGGACCATTAATTCCAATGTGTAAGTGATGGCAATTTTTTCCAGTAAAAAATGTGATGCTTACAACGATACACAGCGACCATTGATAAATTCTACTCTTTGGCTGTGACAAAATTGGTGTGAACAGAATTCCAGTTATCTGGTACCCTAAGTGGGATTAGTTTTAGTTCAAAACAGCACATGATTCTTTGAAATTAACCTAACATATGTCAGCTGACAGTGTCAAGTCAACATGAAAAAAGAGTGTCCTCCTTTTTCTACTGCCACAAAGCATCATCTACAATAAGAGCAGCCCTGCAAAATGGCACTGATTTAGGAACTTCCCTTTTTAAAAAAAATGTATTTTCATCCTTCCTCAAATAGTTAGGGAAAAATAATGGTACCTTGCTTGGCTCTACACAGTGGCACTGACCTTGATCAGAGCATATGGATTTTTAATGGGAGAGGGCAACATAAAAAAATAAAAATAAAAAGTGGCAATCTCTCAGTAAACTTTTGTGATAGTTGCAATGCTATAAAAATTGTTAGCAGCTGTTTGACCAGGACATGGTGAACTGTGTTACTGTTTTGTGGGGTGTTTATTCTGGGAAAGTGTCTGACTGGATAAATTGTGCTGTGCCATAGCTGTTGTACTGTGAGATAGATTCTGAGAAAATCCATATAAAAAGAATAAATGTTGAAGTTTCATTTTATGCTTTATTTATTTGGTATTTCATCAGATGTGTCAACAAAAGCAAGATGGATCTATGGGCAGAAATTTCTCATACATCATTAGTCATCATAATTGTTAGAATGTTGGCCATTACTATAGATACCCCAAATGCTCTGAAGCTCATTGGACTACATCAGCTAGTCAATGAATCTCTGACTGTCAAATTCCTAAACTGTATATATACAATAACATAAAATGCAAAATGAAAGCATAATGTACAGAAGGTAGCAGGTAATAGTCATTCAAAATCTAAACCAATACAAATAAATGCATTAATTAATACAAATTATAAAATAATGCATTAATACAAATTAAAAACTAATTAAAAGCCAACTAAAAAGCCTGGGAAATAGTAAGGTTTTCACCACATACCCAAATGTTAATAGGGTGCCATTTGAGCTTCTCTTAGAAGGAAATCCATAAATGGGAATCACCACAACCAAAAAAAAGCTTTCTCTCTTGTATAGATCTACCTCACCTCCTTTGTGGAAGTGGATCCCATTAGAGGAGAACATCTTGAAATCTGTTGGGAGGTCCACTAGAAGATTTCAACTAATTAACTATTTGATTTTTAAGAAGATATTTAAGAGGATTAAGCAGAAAAAAAGGGATTAGAAAAATGTACTCTGACCTTCCAAAAAAGAAGTGTTACATAAATGCAATTAATATTTCATAGGCTGCACTTTTAAAGTTTTGGAATAATGATTGTTTATGACAGAAATAAGCTGTTTACTGACTGATATTAAGGGTGAAACGACCAGAGTCAAAGTGAAGGGAACATTGCCATGCTCTGCTTCTTTAACTGTCAAGCTATAGTAGTGAGAAGATCATTCTGACACAGTGGTTTGGATATGGAGAAAGTTTAGAATACACATGGTTAGCTTAAAATATAATAGCTTAAATAAAAATTATATTAAATATTGTAAATTGTAATATATGCTGGCAAAGCAAGCAATTGAGGAATAGTAATTTTGTTTGATTTTTATATTATAATTTCAGTATAAATGCCTGTGGTCTGGATATAGCAAAATCATAGAGATTGTGTCATCTTAAAGTATATTTTATGGTTTGTATATTAGGCTGGCCTATTTAACCATGAGTAAACAAAATTATGACCAGATAATATACATGAATCCAGCCACCATGTTACTAGTATTCAAATCATGAGAATTTAAAAATAGCAAAGAACAGATGAATATATATATAAGTGGGATCTATTATTAGTGGTGGAATGCAAACATTTGCAACTTTTTTATATACATTAAGCCTTCTGAAATTACTACATTGAGTTACAGTACTATACAATACTTTCAAATCACTGTTAATTGTATTAAAATGTGTTCATTTATAGCAGGTGATATTATTATGAAAATAAGTGTGACAGCTAAATAGTTAAATTGAAAATTATATGTTATAATGTATTTAATGTTTTATTATTATTATTTGCCATTTGATGTAATTTCTGTTCTTGGCTCATTAGATATACTAATATTGTCCCTCTTCCAAACATACTCATGGCACGCATAACATGCAGTTTGTAACCAGAGACAATTTTAATTCAAAGAACAGGGACAAATGTAATTGCATAAGTCCAATTTATTGTTTTATTATTGAATCTTTATTGTATTGTGACCCTTTGACACTTACAATATAGTATGGGTTGTTAAGATCAAATCAGTGAAAAAATAAATGAAATTATCTTGATGATAAATTATAAAGTGTTATCAAAGTACATTCTGCAGAAGCAAACTTTAAAAGTGAGATTTCTTGGTTTTGCTCTGAAACAGATGGGAAAAATCTTTTGTCTGTTTGTTTGTTTGAATGTATGTATGTATGTATGTATGTATATATAAAGAATGAGTGGAAACAATTGGCATTCTCATAGACAATACATCTAGCAATTTATATTTATTATATAAGATAATGTCCTGTTTTATATCGTTCTCAATTCTACCAAGGTCTGTATAAAACCTCCTCTTGCATTCTGCAGGGTTTCAAAGGCAACAACAAGTACTTTGAATTTCAGCTGGAAGCTCCAATGCATAATATAGATATTATTCTTAGTGGTGGGGTTTTCCCACCAGAAATCTTACTTTTGTGTCTTTCTGCAGTGATCAGGTTATCTCTGGGGCAGCCCATATAGAATGTATTACATTAATCCAATTATATAGTGATCAAGACATGAGTTGCTGTTCACATTATTTAAACAGTATTAGCATTTGTAATATGTTTAAAAAATATACATTCCACTTGTAATTCATATGATTTTAATAGCAGCTTGTATAAAAACACAGCTTTTAAAACTCTCGCTAAAAGTACCATACATGCAAATATATAGATAGCATATAAGAGCAAGAGACAAGCAATACAAATTTTAAAAATCACAGATAAAAATTCAAGCAGCAACATATGTCTTCTATTTGTCCTTAGGCTTGTTGATCATCTGTACTTTTTTATTTTTTTCTCACCAAAATTTTTAATAATATTCTCAGTTACTCAGTATTGTTGGGATGCACAAAATACAGTACATCATGTTACTCCGTTTAGCTTCCTGCAATGGGTATCAGTCCACAAATGTTGGGCTGCAATCAAAAGTAGTATTCAGTAGGTTCTGACCAGTTCTGGAGAACTGGCAGCAGAAATTTTGAACAGTTCGGAGAACCGGCAAATGCCACCTCTGACTGGCCCCGCCCCCATCTATTCTCTGCCTCCAAAGTCCCGGCTGGTTGTCTGGGTCTTCTTTTGTTGCCCTGCACAGGAGAATGGAGCTGGAGAGCAGGTTAGTGGGGTGGGGAGGGAATGGGATTTTGCAGTAATCTTCCCGCAGGAGTGGAGAGGGAATGAGGATTTTGCAGTATCCTTCCCCAAGCCACGCCACGCCACACCCACCAAGCCATGCCCACAGAACCAGTAAAAAATTTTTAATCCTACCACTGGCTGCAATCCCATAATTTCTAGTCATTATAAACCTGCATTGATACCACTGAAGATTTTCCTTTTGATGCAGGTGGAAGCAGAATCTTCTGTCAGCATAATTTAATAAGCCCAATTGTTATTGATATAACTGCATTTGTCTGGTAAAAAGTAAAAAATCCAAAATGTGAAACTTTTGCATGATGTGAAACTAGAAAAAAGAAATGCTCAGAAATTCTGATGGATCACAAAAAATATTTCAATGAATTGAATAATATATTTTTCCTTATTGTACTTTGTAAATATAGTTGATTATTTACAGATATAAAAAAACTGGCAATCAAGATGGAAAATAACGTAACAACAATTTCTCGAGAGGAACTGGAAGAACTAAAAGGAGCATTTAATAAAATAGGTAAGTTTGCTGAAGTTTTCCAAGATTTAGTTGACCCTCGTTGAGGATATAAGAAGATTAAAAATTGATCATATCTACTAATTTTTATTTTATAACCCTCTTTCAAAGATAGTATCAAGATATCTGCCATGATCATTTAATAATTGATTCTATGTACAATAATGATATTAATAATATTTCATACGTGAGTTCCCATAATACAGTGTTTCTCAACCTTGGCAACTGAAAGTGTGGACCAAGTCCCACAATATCCTAGCCACATGAAATGCTATACTACCATAAGTTTGCTATAATCACATAAACCCTGCTAATCCCCAGTATTCACTGTCATGTCATGAGCATACTGCTCCTTGTGTTGGAAATCTTGAAAAGAACCTCAGGAGCTGTGCGTTGAGGGGTAAGGTGAAAAAGTCTATGATTGGTTGGCCGAAAAGAAGTGACTTCTCCTGAAACAATCTCAGGTGCAGGTGCCACTCGGAATGGTTGACAGTGGCCCTGCTCAACCAGTCTGCCTGGATGTTGGACAGTCCTGAGATGTGTTCCGCTTTGATGGAGATTAAGTTCCTCCCTGCCCAGCGGCACAGTCTCTCTGTCTCTCTTATTAGTGATCTTGAATGCGTGTCCCCCTGTCTGTTTATGTGGCCTTTGTGGTAACATTGTTGGTCAGGATGAAGACATGTTGTCCCTGGATCAGCGGAAAAACTTGCAGAGGGCCAAATGGATTACCCTCAATTCCAGCCAGTTTATGCTGCAGGGCTCTTCCATCATGGATCAATGACCCTGAGCTGTAAGGGACTGACAGTGCCCCCACCCCATCTCAATAGACTTGCATCTGTTGTGATAGTCTGTGAGGGTCCTTGAAAAGACAGCCCTTGTTGATGTTTGCTGTGGTCCACAGTAAAGCGATATGAGGACCTTTGATGGAATGGTGACCTTTGACCTGGCATTGCTCCTTCCTGACCATTGATACAGGAGCAGAAACCATAGAAGGGTTCTGTTGTGGAGCCAAGCCCAGGGAACAATAGAAATGCATGAGATCATTTTTCCTAATAGTTTGGATAATTGGGTTGCGGTACTCGTTTGAGAGTTCTAGCCTCTTTTGACAATTGTCTAATGCTACTCTGCCTGTCTGGTGATAGGGATACTTTCCCAGCCACTGTATCAATGATGTCTCCCAAGTGCGGGAAGTGAGTCGAAGGTGTTAAATGATTCTTGGCCCAGTTTATTGAAAATCCGTGCTGTTGGCGAGCCTATCGGGTGAAAGTCCAGAAATATTTCACAAGAAGAGTTCTCCACTCCTCTACTTGTTGCAGAATACCTTATGCCACCAGACTTGAAATTCTAGACCTAGAAAACCTAGAACTACGCCGCCTTCAGTCCAATCTAAGTATAGTATATAAAATCATACATTGCAATGTCCTACTTGTCAATGAATACTCCATCCCTGTCCTATTGTTTCTTTTATATATTTTTCTTATATGTATTCATAACTATGTTTTTACTTATACCTATTATCTTGTAAGCAATTGACAAATAAAAATAAATAAATAAAATAAAAAATATTGTGTAATAGCTAGCCCCATCCAAGCTCTCATCTGTGCAGGAATTTCTTGTGGAAGAGATTCCTCTGAGCAAAGCCCAGTTGCTGTAGGGGTAAATGTAGCCTCAGGAGCCCTTTGTGGTGCAGGTATTGCAGTTGAAGTGTTTGCTTGGTTTGGCAAGACGGTGTTGTGCCGATTTGCATTGATGGTGCTGTGCCTGCTTGCATTGACAGATCCAGAGGAGGAGCTGGCAGGGAGCTTTGGGCAGGGACATCTCTTGGAGGAGATGTTGCTTGTTTATTCTTCTCGGCCTCCTGAAGACACTTTTGCATGTGTTTTTCTAGTGCCCTTTGGCACTTCTTAGTGTCTTCTCAGCAGCAGCAGAAGGCTTCCTTGAACCTGTTGTTTTGCTCTGGGCTCTGGTCATGGCCCTCCTGGCTGCCACTCTGGAGCTTGAGGAGCTGATAGAACTGCCACTTGCCATTCCACCCCCTGGATACAGGAGCTGTTATGGAGTGAGGCTTATAATAAGAAGCAGTTGGCAGGCCCAGGGGTCTGCTCCAGGAATGGGCAGGGATTCCTCAAATGTAAATGATTTAAACCCCCCTTTTAAAATATATTATTATTATTATTATTATTATTATTATTATTATTATTATTATTA